TCGTGCCGCAGCATCTGCACGCAGATGAGGTCCATAAACAGCGTTGCAGTGATTAAACCGAGAAAGTATCAACGTGTCAGTGAGCAAGGCTCTACTTTGCGTGCTTAAAATGTGACGGTTGGCGTATAAAGACTTTAGCGTGGCATACGAACATCTAATTAAGTGATTGATATGTGTATTAAAACGCATATCCGAATCCAGCCATACCCCCAAGAGTTTTACAGTATCAACTACGCGCAATTCATCGCCGCCCACACGAATGCTCAATGATGCTCTGGCAGGACCAAGGTCTTTACTTCTACCGAATATAATAGCTGATGATTTCGTACCATTAATCAATAGACCGTGCCCTTCCGATACATTCACCACCCGTTCGATATCTTGATTTAAACGACTATTTGCACTTTCAATCTCTGACAACGGAAAACTCAAATATAGTTGTGTATCATCCGCATAAGTTTGTAATTTACAGTAACGGACGTGTAACGAGAAGGCACTAGTATATAGGACAAATAGGATAGGACCGCAAATACTACCCTGCGGCACACCTGTAGGAGTGTAAAATTCACGAGAAGTAGAATCACGAACGCGCACCCTCATACTTCTGCCCTCCAAATAATGTCGAAAGAAATCAACGGATTCACGGCTAAAACCCATAAACCTAAGAACAGCAAGCAACATTTGATGATTGATAGTGTCAAATGCCTTAGAATAGTCAAGTGTCACCAGGGCCGTAACAAGGCCAGAATCAGAGGAGCGCACAATGTCATCCGTAAGGTTTAAAAGAGAAGTAGCGCACGAAAAACCCGGACGAAAACCCGATTGGGAATCAGGCAGAAGATTATATTGAGTTAGGTGTGTTCGCAGCTGACGATCCACAATTTTTTCAACAACCTTGGAAAGGCCGGGTAGAAGACAAATGAGCCTTAAATCGCTATAATCGGAAGCATTTGGTTTTTTGAGTATTGCAACTGCAATAGACTGTTTCCAGATGGTAGGGTACTTATACATTTTCTGTTAAACAGAAATTTACGATATGTAAAATATATCTAGATATAAAAGGAAAACACATCTTAACAAATTTCAGTGCTATGCCATCGACTCCAACGGCATTGGAAGAGATACTAATCAACGTGGAGTATAGATCGTTCTCCGTTATAGCCCAGAAGGAGAATTCAGTTTGAAAAACAGTAGCCTTGTTATATAAGTTGTATTCCCCTATCAGGTTTTCAGCCAGATCACCCTCACCAGCTTCAATACTTTAGGAAACATACCGTCTTTCAAGCCCTCAATCATCATCCTTTATTCACTCTTAAATTACTCCCATGTCTTCTTCAGCACGACCGATCTAAATCCGTGGCAGCCCAGTGCCTCTCCTTACCCATCAAAATAATTTCATTCAACTCTTCTTAGTTATCCTTGTTCCTCCTAACCTTATCCATCAATTCATTCACGGTCCTTCTATAATCTCCCTGTGCGTTGTTAATTAATTTGAGATAGTATTTTTCCTCAAAACATGCTCACCACTTACACTTATTCCACTCTCTCATCCAGCTCTCTTCCAGTTTACCATCCATTGCAACATCCCGTGATTGCTAGGGGTCTCATTCTTCAGAAGTGCCCTTTCGGATTCTCTTTAGATGCTGTTACATCAATCCAGCTACAACCATTTGCCGTCTGAAATGTAGGACATATGTTTGGATTATGTATCTACCATTCATTCCCTATCATCCAGTCAGTCGAGAATACACGCAGCATAATCTTACCTTTCCTTCTCACTACATCCACTGTAACTAGTGATGGGCGCTGGGTAAATACCCGTCGGGTATTTTATTATAGAATGGGTATTCATACGGGTATTTCCTCCGCCTCAGGATAAATACCCAAACAGTACGTATAAAAGTGATGCAAATTAAAACATAACAGATTTGGAAAAAAATGAAGAGGAAGATGATGAAATGGACGTTGAAGACGACGATCATAGACGATATCATCAGACGAAACGATCGTAATTTAGATTAGATCAAGTTATTATCATTAAATATTATTGATATATTCCTTATTCTGTTCCATTCGATTCTATTCTGTGCTGTCTGAATGCAATTGTTGGGCATTCTTTTGAAGTCGTCCGTCCAGCGTGTAGGCGGTCTTTCTCTACTTCGTCTATCGTTTTGTCCACTGCTCATTCTTCATTCGCGCGACATGACCCGCCCAGTTCCACTTGAGCTTTACCACAATGTTGACTACATCATTTACGCCAGTATTTCTTCGTAGGCCCTCATTTCATATGTGGTCCCTCAGAGTTACACCCAGCATCGACCTCTCCATCTTTCTTTGCATTACTTTGAGCCTCCTGGCAGTGGCACCATTAATGTTAAAGTTTCGAAGCCTTGAAGACATCTCTAAGTATCCCGTAGGCTGCCCATGCGAGCGTGATCCTTCTGTTTAGTTCGCTCGTTTGATTATATCTCGATACACGAACCTCATGGCCAAGATATGCATAGCTGTCAATTCTCTCAATCTCGTTATCACCAATGTTGATGTTAGAGCTGGGAACAAAATTTGTCATAAATTTTGATTTCTTCACGTTGATATTTAGCTGGACTCTTGCACACACCTCTTTTAAGTCGTTCAGCATCAGTTTCATCTCTGCAAGGCTATCCGAAATAAGGACATATCGTCGGCGTAGAGCAAATTACTTTGCCATCAATGTTTATGCCTTTTTGGATCCAATCCAATTGTTTAAATGCACTCTCCAGGACTGTGATGAACAATTTGAGGGATATTGTATCGCCTTGTCTTACCCCACGAACAATGGGTATTCGGACAGTACTTTCATGCAATTTTACCGTCATTGTAGCATTCTTGTAGATGTTATAAATAAGCTTGGTGTATCGATAATCGACTCTGCATTCTTGAAATGCTTGACTCAATTAAACTGCCATCAACTCAATTTAAATTAAATTTTATAAATACCTCTAAATACCCATCTTGGGTGAATACTAGTGATGTGACGAATAGTAGTTTAGCCGAATATCCGAATACTGAATATCGGCNGAACATATGTTATAAAGAGATTATTATTATTATGTTATTTTCTTGTTTTAGAGATTTTGTAATTTTGCATTTAAAACATTATTATTATCCGTTTCATAAACTAACATCTATTATTTCTTTTCATAAATTACGTATTAAAACTAAACAATTAAATTGTCTACTTTGACAGCTCCTTCAAAAATAAGGATGGCGTTGACAAGTATTTTAATTGTTCTTTAGTGAATATCAGCGGTTCCCAAAAGTTGACGCTAACTTATTTAAAAAATTAACATGCGATCTCTATGTAACTATTAAGATTTTAACAAAACATTATTAAGAAAATCTCTTCAGTTTGACCTCAAGTACCTACCCATTTAGTCTCCTCCGTATGTTATAAATCACCCTGTATATAATCAAAGGTGAAAAATAATACCGGGAAATAATTCAAATTTTTAAAGTAATGAACTTGAATTACTTTAATATACAGGCTGTCTCACGTAACTGGTTCGTTAGAACTTTTTCAGGTTCCACTATTCGTGGAGATTTGAAATTTTGGTAGCATGGGTTGTTCATTCGGATAATAATAATAAATAAATTTATTGCCATAATAAGAAACAAAAAATACAAATTAAAGAAAACGTATACATTTAACTTAATGCATAAATACGGGCAAAAGGGTCGATTTATCGCGTAAGCGATATCTTCCAAACAACCCAATCAATCAGCAGTNTAAGGTTAATAAAAAAAATGAAGCCAAAATATAAAAGTCCTAGCCGAAAACATATAACCGACGTAATAATTCCAGATATATATAACAGAACCAAAAATGTCATAAAAAAAGAAATATCCCAAGCTGTAGCAGTTTCTGCAACGACAGATATGTGGACTAATGACAACAATATGCAGAGTTTTATTAGCTTAACAATTCATTGGCTAACAGATGATTTCACACAAAAACACTGTGTTCTGGATATGAAACATTTTCCTGGGCAACATACAGCGGACAATATTCGCAGTGCAATATATGAAATTATGACAATTTGGGACATACCACAAGAAAAAATACACGTTATTTTACGTGACAATGGTGCTAATATGGTCAAAGCTCTTAATGAGTCCATGTACGACCCGATCCCTTGCTTCATTCACACGTTGCAATTGGTGGTAAACGAAGCCATATGTGTTCAGGAAAATGTAACTCAGATGATAATCGCATCAAGACGTANCTGGGAACAAAATTACTCATAAATTTTGATTTCTTCACGTTGATATTTAGCTGGACTCTTGCACACACCTCTTTTAAGTCGTTCAGCATCAATTTCATCTCTGCAAGGCTATCCGAAATAAGGACATATCGTCGGCGTAGAACAAATTACTTTGCCATCAATGTTTATGCCTTTTTGGATCCAATCCAATTGTTTAAATGCACTCTCCAGGACTGTGATGAACAATTTGAGGGACATTGTATCGCCTTGTCTTATCCCACGAACAATGGGTATTCGGACAGTACTTTCATGCAATTTTACCGTCATTGTAGCATTCTTGTAGATGTTATAAATAAGCTTGGTGTATCGACTCTGCATTCTTGAAATGCTTGACTCAATTAAACTGCCATCAACTCAATTTAAATTAAATTTTATAAATACCTCTAAATACCCATCTTGGGAAAATACTAGTGACGTGACGAATAGTAGTTTAGCCAAATATCCGAATACTGAATATCGGCCGACATTTGAATCGTATATTCGGACGAATATTCGGCCTAACCGAATATTTCTCAAATCCCGATAATCGAACTCGAAGTCGCTGCTTCCCCGAGTTCTATCTTGGTTATATTTGTATTAATCGCCGTACATGTCTGAACTTGTGAGTATACGAAAAATTTCGTTACTGCTTATTTGGTAAGTGCCAAGCGAGGTGAGAAGATAGTTCAATCATTGAGTTAAATTAGTGTCGTGAAAAATATGAGTACAACAAAAAAATCGAAAGTTTGGATGTTTTTCAAAGATTCCGAGGAGGAGAGTAAAGCAGAATGTACAATTTGCAACGCTCTTATTTCAAGAGGTGGAAAAGGAAAATCAGCAACAACTAGTTCCCTTATAAACCACATAAAAGGTAAGTGTATATACGTGTTTGGATAACTGTCTAACATTAACAGACATGAAAATAAATAAAATAATAAAATTGAAAACAATTTATATTATTTCTAATATAATATAATTTAATTAATATACACTCAGGTGCAAAAAAACGCAACACGTCAATTTTTGGTAAAGTTTGAAGTGTGATAACTTTCTTATTTTTACATCGATTTTCATAATTTTTTTAGCAAATCGAAGATAAAACTATCTAATTTCACATTGAATATCCAGCCTTTTGTTAAATGCTAGTCATTTAGTCATTATACAGGGTTATTTGAAAGGTTGTTCTATAAGCCTAATTTTAAACTTAAATACTAATACTTAAATACTTATAATATTTTTGACAAACGTAAAGAAATGTTTTGCGACAGCGTAAAGTGACTTTAATTTAATTTCAGGAAAGCATCCAGAGGCTTTCAAAGAATTAAGTGTTCAGAAGTCACAAGAAAACCATCCGACAGAAATAAAAGTTTTTTTACAAAATCCCCCCAAAAAAATGAAAATACAACAAACTATTAAAGAATCTTTTACTACCCAGTGGAGTGAGATTGATAGTAGAACAAAAGAAATAAACTACGCAATTGCAGAAATGATTGCTGTAGATAATCAGCCGATATCCATAGTGGAAAACACTGGTTTTGTAAGGTTAATAAAAAAAATGAAGCCAAAATATAAAAGTCCTAGCCGAAAACATATAACCGACGTAATAATTCCAGATATATATAACAGAACCAAAAATGTCATAAAAAAAGAAATATCCCAAGCTGTAGCAGTTTCTGCAACGACAGATATGTGGACTAATGACAACAACATGCAGAGTTTTATTAGCTTAACAATTCATTGGCTAACAGATGATTTCACACAAAAACACTGTGTTCTGGATATGAAACATTTTCCTGGGCAACATACAGCGAACAATATTCGCAGTGCAATATCTGAAATTATGACAATTTGGGACATACCACAAGAAAAAGTACACGTTATTTTACGTGACAATGGTGCTAATATGGTCAAAGCCCTTAATGACTCCATGTACGACCCGATCCCTTGCTTCATTCACACGTTGCAATTGGTGGTAAACGAAGCCATATGCGTTCAGGAAAATGTAACTCAGGTGATAATCGCATCAAGACGTATTGTGACGCATTTTCACCACTCTGAATCGGCCCAAGAAAAATTAAAAGACCATCAACGAGAACTTGGTTTGCCTTTTCATCAACTCATCCAAGATGTCCGCACGAGATGGAATAGCACGTTTTACATGCTCGCTCGATTGTGTGAACAATATATATTTCTGAAAATGATGTAAAGTTTCAGAATCTGTCTGTAGCAGAATGGCAACTGTTAGAAGAATGTATGTTGCTTCTTAAGCCGCTAGAAGAAATTACTAAATTGGCAAGCTCCTCCTCTGCTACCATTTCCTCCGTAATTCCGAATGTAAAAACNCGTTATTTTCTTGACATGCGTTGTCATTCTTGTGTCTTTATCGATGTTAACTCCCAGGTATTTTACCGACGGGGAGCTTTGGACGGTATGTTCGCCTATATTTACTTGTAGGTTTGTTAGCTTCCTTCTTCCTTCCCAACCCAACCCAACCCAACCCAACCCATTTTCACCACTCTGAATCGGCCCAAGAAAAATTAAAAGACTATCAACGAGAACTTGGTTTACCTTTTCATCAACTTATCCAAGATGTCCGCACGAGATGGAATAGCACGTTTTACATGCTTTACATGCTCTGTTAGAAGAATGTATGTTGCTTCTTAAGCCGCTAGAAGAAATTACTAAATTGGCAAGCTCCTCCTCTGCTACCATTTCCTCCGTAATTCCGAATGTAAAAACATTAAAAAAATAAGTAAAAATACTTATCGAAAGACGATCTCGTTTCAGAAAATTTAACTGAAATGAGACTTACTTTATTGAAAGGGGTAAAGATAAGATTTGAAAATATAGAACTGGAAAAAAATTATTATATGGCAACGTTACTTGATCCTCGATTTCGTTTTCAATTTTTCTCATCTGAAAACATATCTGTTATAAGGCGTACCTTTTTTTAGAAGCGCTTCAAAGGGAATTTAATTCAGAGAGCAGCAGTAGCGATGATAGAGATAACGATGAAGAGTTAACTTCAACAAGTGGGATCAATCGAAGTCATGGTATTTTCTGGGACTGCTAGATTTCAATCCAAGAAATAGGATAGCAATTGAACTGGACTGTTATTTATCCGGAGAACTCTTAAAACGAGATGAAGATCCATTTGTTTGGTGGAAAACAAACAGTTTCAAATATTCTAAAATAAAATGTCTTGCAAAAGTGTATTTATCCGCTCCATCAAGCACAATTTTCAGTGAGCGACTGTTTTCAGAAGCAGGGAACTTATATGAAAAAAAAAGAAATCGCTTACTACCAGAGAGAGCTGCCCATTTAGTATTTTTGCACGAAAACTTGCCGTTAATTAATTATGATTATTGATCTTTTTTATCAAATAAAGTTTATCTGATGAGTAAGTTATCATGTGTTTTGTTTCGTAAACCTATTGTGATCTGCACCAAAAGATTTATTAAAATTTAAAACGTCTACACATAAAACTCAATATTCGGCGGAATTGCCAAATATTCGGCCGAATACTAAAAATGAGGCCGAATAAGCCGAATAGCGAATAATTAGTCCAAACTCGCTATTCGGTCCCAACTTGGTCCCAACTCTAGTAAATACCCCGGGTATTTACACTGTGTTAATTAATTACCGTACCCGACGTCATCATTACAAGTATGCAACCAATATCACAGTATGCGTATTGCAATACGCGATTTGCGATATTGGTTGCATACTTGCAATGATGACGTCGGGTACGATAATTAATTAACACAGTGTATCCAGGGAATTTTCCCTTGAAAATAAATACCCGAGTATTTAACAACACTGCCTGTAACTGTTATACACACCGTCCCTACTCATAAGTAATTGTGTGCCTAACCAATCCCACGGCTGCCCTATTCTCCCTGCAATCTCTGTCCTTCGTCTCGTGGTTGCTCTCCCTTCCTTTAATTTTGTAGTTGACTCGTGCCCTCTTTCCGCACTGGCATCTAAAGCATTTTTAATGTCCATCCTGCATGTCCTGCATGTTCAAGCCGGCTACCCTGCACGATAGTAATCTCACATAACTTTTCTTGAACTTAAGTAACTCTCTCCACGGCACCTCCAATGATATTTAAAAAAGAACAAAAATATTAAAATTTATAAACAAGTGGTGTTTTAGGTTGCGGATCTACCACACTGAGAGATATCTACTGAATGTTGGTCTTTTTTTGGTCTTTACCTAAAAGCTTTAGACACATACAAGATGATATAATCCTAGAATTATTTAAATTTTTCTTATTTAAAAGCAAAAGGTTAAAAGAACTCTTTCAACTAAATGACCTCCCAAGTAACGTAAATAATCAATCACCAAGCTGTAATAAAAGGTAATAATCTACGAAAGCAAACGATCAAGTGAAAAGGTGCACCTGGTGTTATGACCGAGTCAAAAAGGTATACGCACATCATCGATATATAACACGGTCGCCTCGTTTGGTCACATTATTTTTCCCCGGTTCATGATTTATTCACCCTAATTACCACGTGGTGGGCACAAACCAACGCTCCACCTTACGAGTCGTCACCAACACCTCTACAATATCCCTAACCAATCCTTACCCGACTTGACTGGTCGTTAACCAATCCATTCGTAGGATTGCAACCAAGGGTGGAACTTTTCTTAAAGCTCCAACCCAGGAAAAGTTGTTACTTGTCGCCAAGACACCTGAAGTAACATCTCTAAACAAACCATATAAAATCCACGATTACGTTCGTATAACATTATTACACTCAGTTTTTTTAAACACGAAGGATAAGGTTATTGTTAAGTGCGTGTTTATAATTTTATGATGGAAAGTGCGAACTTTCAATGTGCAAATTCAACACCAAGTGGAATTTATTCTGCGATTCCTACGTTTCCAGCGTTTCATTTATTGCGAAGTTATAATTATTTGATGGCACCTAGATCTAATACAACAGGTAAAAAATTTTTTTTACTAAAACACAAATCTTGATCTAAGTATTTGACATACAATCCGATCGTGACGGTTTAAATTAAGTTCGTATCGATTCGGATCACGCAAATTCACGCAACTCTGGTTGAAAAATCATAAAACTGTAACAGGTTATAAACGACTTGTCGAACAATCACCTGAAAGTCACGCGAATACGTTTTCAATAAACGCACATCAGTATTCGCACTCAAATCATTTTTAAATCTAATAAAACATTTCCTTGATTAACAATTCATATTTTAGATTTTTTATGTAAACCACCGATTTTGCAATCAAGACCATATTCAAATTTAGATGAGAAAACGGATGAGTCCTCGACGTTATCGCCACCATCTTTTGCGAGTTATGCTGCGCATTATGATGATTGCTTAGGTGGGTGAATTTAAAATTTATCTTATGTGGGGTTATCTTTATTTTTGGGTTATCATTGGCTTTAGTTTCAAAAACTTCGTGTGGGTCTATGTTTAGTCACCCGTACAGGAAGCAACGGGGTGAAAAAAAGCCGATTCCGGCTGATCAAAAAGACGAAAAGTATTATGAAAGGCGAAGAAGGAATAATCAAGCTGCTAAAAAATCAAGGGATGCAAGAAAGCAAAGGGAAGATCAGGTGGGTTATTCTTGATAAGAAGTTTTGATTTATATAGTTCTCTAAAACATTAATCGCCTTACTTTCTGATAAAAATATTTATCCTCAATGGGGTAAACGAGTGGTGTTGAAAATGTTATCATGAGATTTTGTGTAAAGTATACAATCATATCTAAGTTGATCATAATACATTTGGTTATGTCAGTAATTGCTGAAAATATGATGACCAGTTTCAGATCACAAGCGACCTCGCTTTAATTAGGCAAATGATCGACAATATCATCTGATATAGCCGAAACCCCCTGCAACTGATTCGCCAGAATATGATACCAATTTCGGGCTGATACAATCTTGTTTAATATTATTTATGGTTTTGCAAGGTTGAATTCAAAAATGCATAACTTTAAAACGTTAAAGATTTGAAAAAATCCTCTGTAAAATATTATACTAAATAATAATTAATAATAATTAATACTAAATAAATTTGCTTTAAATTGTATTTTATTTCATAGCGATATCTCAATTAGTTGTTGAGATATGTAAAGATTAATATTCTAACATTTATGTTTAAGATAATTAAGCAAGGTTGCGTTTAAAACTCATATCTCCGATATTTGAAGATTCCAAGAAATGAGCATCAAATTAATAGGTACTACATAAATTTGCTTTAGATTACTTTTTATTTCATAATGATATCTCAATTAGTTTTTGAGGTACGCTAAGATTAATTACCCTAAAATTTATGTTTAAGTTTATGCAAGCTTGCGTTCGAATAATAATGAGTTCGACATTGAAATGATCTTTAACACAATAAATAAATAAATAAATTTGCTTCAGATTGCTTCTTTTTTTTTATAACGATATCTCAATTAGCTTTCAAGATACAAAAAGACATTAATGCTCAAAATTATGCAAGGTTGCGTTCAAAAAATCATAACTCCGAAATTTGACGATTCCAAGAAATGATCGTCAAAGTATTAAATAGAAAATAAATTTAGCATCAATTGCTTTTTATTTCCTAACCATATCTAACTTTGTTTTTGAGATACATAACGATCAATTATCCTAACATTTATATTTAAGATTATGCAAGGTTGCATTCAAGATATCATAACTACAAAATTTGAAGATTTCAAGATATGATCTTAAAAGTATCAAATATTAAATAAATTTGCTTTATATTGCTTTTTATTTCATAATGATATCTCAATTAGTTTTTGAGATACGTAAAGATTATTTACCCTAATATTTATGTTTAAGATTATGCAAGGTTGCGTTAAAAAAACCATAACTCCGAAATTTGAAGATTTCAAGGTATGGTCTTCAAAATATTAAATACTATATAAATTTGCTTTAATTTGCTTTTTATTTGATAATGATATCTCAATTAGTTTTTGAGATACGTAAAGATTATTTACCCTAACATTTATGTTTAAGATTATGCAAGGTTGTGTTAAAAAAACCATAACTCCGAAATTTGAAGGTTTCAAGATATGGTCTTCAAAATATTAAATACTATATAAATTTGCTTTAATTTGCTTTTTATTTCATAACTATACCTCAATTAGTTTTTGAGGTACGCAAAGATTAATTACCCTAAAATTTATGTTTAAGTTTATGCAAGGTTGCGTTCGAATAATAATGACTTCGACATTTGAAGACTCAAGAAATGATCTTTAACACAATAAATACTATATAAATTTGCTTCAGATTGCTTCTTTTTTTATAACGATATCTCAATTAGCTTTCAAGATACAAAAAGACATTAATGCTCAAAATTATGCAAGGTTGCGTTCAAAAAATCATAACTCCGAAATTTGACGATTCCAAGAAATGATCTTCAAAGTATTAAATAGAAAATAAATTTAGTATCAATTGCTTTTTATTTCCTAACGATATCTAACTTTGTTTTTGAGATACATAAAGATCAATTACCCTAACATTTATATTTAAGATTATGCAAGGTTGCATTCAAGATATCATAACTACAAAATTTGAAGATTTCAAGATATGATCTTAAAAGTATCAAATATTAAATAAATTTGCTTTATTTTGTTTTTTATTTCATAATGATATCTCAATTAGTTTTTGAGATACGTAAAGATTATTTACCCTAACATTTATGTTTAAGATTATGCAAGGTTCCGTTAAAATAAACCATAACTCCGAAATTTGAAGATTTCAAGATATGGTCTTCAAAATATTAAATACTATATAAATTTGCTTTAATTTGCCTTCTATTTCATAACTATACCTCAATTAGTTTTTGAGGTACGCTAAGATTAATTACCCTAAAATTTATGTTTAAGTTTATGCAAGGTTGCGTTCGAATAATAATGACTTCGACATTTGAAGACTCAAGAAATGATCTTTAACACAATAAATACTATATAAATTTGCTTCAGATTGCTTCTTTTTTTATAACGATATCTCAATTAGCTTTCAAGATACAAAAAGACATTAATGCTCAAAATTATGCAAGGTTGCGTTCAAAAAATCATAACTCCGAAATTTGACGATTCCAAGAAATGATCTTCAAAGTATTAAATAGAAAATACATTTAGTATCAATTGCTTTTTATTTCCTAACGATATTTAACTTTGTTTTTGAGATACATTAAGATCAATTACCCTAACATTTATATTTAAGATTATGTAAGGTTGCATTCAAGATATCATACCTACAAAATTTGAAGATTTCAAGATATGATCTTAAAAGTATCAAATATTAAATAAAATTGCTTTATATTGCTTTTTATTTCATAATGATATCTCAATTAGTTTTTGAGATACGTAAAGATTATTTACCCTAACATTTATGTTTAAGATTATGCAAGGTTGCGTTAAAAAACCATAACTCCGAAATTTGAAGATTTCAAGATATGGTCTTCAAAATATTAAATACTATATAAATTTGCTTTAATTTGCTTTTTATTTCATAACTATACCTCAATTAGTTTTTGAGGTACGCAAAGATTAATTACCCTAAAATTTATGTTTAAGTTTATGCAAGGTTGCGTTCGAATAATAATGACTTCGACATTTGAAGACTCAAGAAATGATCTTTAACACAATAAATACTATATAAATTTGCTTCAGATTGCTTCTTTTTTTATAACGATATCTCAATTAGCTTTCAAGATACAAAAAGACATTAATGCTCAAAATTATGCAAGGTTGCGTTCAAAAAATCATAACTCCGAAATTTGACGATTCCAAGAAATGATCTTCAAAGTATTAAATAGAAAATAAATTTAGTATCAATTGCTTTTTATTTCCTAACGATATCTAACTTTGTTTTTGAGATACATAAAGATCAATTACCCTAACATTTATATTTAAGATTATGCAAGGTTGCATTCAAGATATCATAACTACAAAATTTGAAGATTTCAAGATATGGTCTTAAAAGTATCAAATATTAAATAAATTTGCTTTATATTGCTTTTTATTTCATAATGATATCTCAATTAGTCTTTGAGATACGTAAAGATTATTTATCCTAACATTTATATTTGAGATTATGCAAGGTTGCGTTAAAAAAACCATAACTTCGAAATGTGAAGATTTCAAGATATGGTCTTCAAAATATTAAATACTATTTAAATTTGCTTTAATTTGCATTCTATTTCACAACTATACCTCAATTAGTTTTTGAGGTACGCAAAGATTAATTACCCTAAAATTTATGTTTAAGTTTATGCAAGGTTGCGTTCGAATAATAATAAGTTCGACATTTGAAGACTCAAGAAATGATCTTTAACACAATAAATACTATATAAATTTGCTTCAGATTGCTTCTTTTTTTTATAACGATATCTCAATTAGCTTTCAAGATACAAAAAGACATTAATGCTCAAAATTATGCAAGGTTGCGTTCAAAAAATCATAACTCCGAAATTTGACGATTCCAAGAAATGATCTTCAAAGTATTAAATAGAAAATAAATTTAGTATCAATTGCTTTCTATTTCCTAACGATATTTGACTTTGTTTTTGAGATACATAAAGATCAATTACCCTAACATTTATATTTAAGATTATGCAAGGTTGCATTCAACATATCATAACTACAAAATTTGAAGATTTCAAGATATGATCTTAAAAGTATCAAATATTAAGTAAATTTGCTTTATATTGCTTTTTATGTCATAATGATATCTCAATTAGTTTTTGAGATACGTAAAGATTATTTACCCTAACATTTATATTTAAGATTATGCAAGGTTGCATTCAAGATATCATAACTACAAAATTTGAAGATTTCAAGATATGATCTTAAAAGCATCAAATATTAAATAAATTTGCTTTATATTGCTTTTTATTTCATAATGATATCTCAATTTGTTTTTGAGATACGTAAAGATTATTTACCCTAACATTTATGTTTAAGATTATGCAAGGATGCGTTAAAAAACCATAACTCCGAAATTTGAAGATTTCAAGATATGGTCTTCAAAATATTAAATACTATATAAATTTGCTTTAATTTGCTTTTTATTTCATAACTATACCTCAATTAGTTTTTGATGTATGCAAAGATGAATTACTACTATGCTACTATGAGTTCGTACGATGAGGTACTATTAGTTCGAATAATAATGACTTCGACATTTGAAGACTCAAGAAATGATCTTTAAAGCAATAAAGACTAAAAATTTGCTTCAGATTGCTTCTTTTTTTATAACGATATCTCAATTAGCTTTCAAGATACAAAAAGACATTAATGCTCAAAATTATGCAAGGTTGCGTTCAAAAAATCATAACTCCGAAATTTGACCATTCTAAGAAATGATCTTCAAAGTATTAAATAGAAAATAAATTTAGTATCAATTGCTTTCTATTTCCTAACGATATCTGACTTTGTTTTTGAGATACATAAAGATCAATTACCCTCACATTTATATTTAAGATTATGCAAGGTTGCGGTAAAAAAACCATAACTCCGAAACTTGAAGATTTCAAGATATGGTCTTCAAAATACTAAATACTATATAAATTTGCTTTAATTTGCTTTTTATTT